GCGAAGAATGTGAACCAGATAATGCAGAAGCTTAAGCTTCGCGATAGTTCCGACACCATAATATGCTAGTGTGCACTCCGTGCAAAGCACTGCATTTTAAATTGACATTCCGCTAAGTTTTAATACATTTGATTTGATTATTGTATGCTTAAAATTAGAAATCATATCTACTCTTCTATACTTAAAAAATGATCCAAGTTTTAATATAATTCATTTAAAAACGACAAATATTCAAAACTTTGAAACTTATTTTTAAAAACGACCTGTTTCAACTTTAATTAACAAAACCGACCTAGTTCAGCCTCAGGGTTGAAACTGGGTCGGTTTTGGCGAAAAAGTTCCCAAACTTCACGGGAGTTCAACTCCCGTGAAGTTTTTTACATAACAAAACTTTCACATAACAAAACTTCACGGGAGTTGGAAGTCCCGTGAAGTTTTGTTATGTAAAAAACTTCAGGGGAGTTCAACTCCCGTGAAGTTTGAGAAATTTTTTCGCCAAAACCGACCCAGTTTCAGCCTCAGCTAGGTCGGTTTTGGTAATTAAAGTTGAAACATATTGTTTTTGGGGAATATTTTTGCAAAATGGTTGGTTTTGAAAATTTGTCCATTTAAAAATCATATCTACTCCTTTATACTTAAAGGAGGATGCAAGTTTTAATATATTTGATTTGCTTTACTGTTTATGATACAGTGACTGTAGCATGAATAATAACTTCATATATGGAGGAGCATATTTGATTTACTATTTATGATATAGTAAATTACTGTAGCATAAATAGTAAGATTTATTGTTCATGCTATAGTATTTACTGTGGCATAAACAATGATTCTATAGATCCTCCTTAAGTATAGAGTAGTAGATTAATGATTGCAATACAGATTTTATACATGAGTTGGGGAAATAACTGACCTAATAATAGCACAAAGTTGCTTTCACAGTGCATGTTATTCACCATTAATCACCGTTAAGAGTTTCTATAAAGAAATTTGTTAACTTTCCTTAGCTTTATTTTTGTTACCAATTCTATGCCTTGCCTCATTGTAGGTTGCTTGATCTTACACAATGCTTGCAGTTGCTTTTATTTTCTTGAACCTTCTTCTGGTAGATAATGTAATTAAGAATTATGAAATTTATGGGGTTTAGTTCCACCGTCTTATCTACAAATCCTTCCAATATCTTCGCATCTATACTTTCTATAAAGAAAATAGGGAGGTTTGTGAAAATCCTAGAGGAGAGGTATGTTCAAATGACAGACAAAAAATAGTAATCCTTTGAAGACAACAAATATAATTTCCCGGGATCCTCTCTCTATGTCTAGAGTATTAAATGCACTCTTCTTGAAAATCCACTATTGAGATTTACAGTCTTATGACTCTTATCATCTGACAAATTTCAAAACCCACAGGTTACAACAGAAAGCATGATGGAACACATCAATAACCTACTTCAGATTCCAGGATCAAAGTTACTCTTTGGCGGAGAACCATTAATAGATCATTCTATTCCAAAAATATATGGAGCTATGCAACCTACGGCTGTTTTTGTTCCCATTGAGGAGATCCTCAAAGAAAACACTTTTGCTTTGGTGACAAAAGAAATTTTTGGCCCCTTCCAGGTAAAGTACTGACTTGTAAAAGACAGTTTTATACATAATGTTGGCGAAGTGCACCGTAGTGCTTCTTAGTGGGAAAGAACTGTGCTTAGTCTCTACTTGAAAATATGGTTGAAGATGAATTTTTTTCCCTGTCTCTTAATTCCAATCGAGGATTTTCTGGGGTGAACTTATAAGCGATTCATATTATGTTATTCATTTATGTCCCAAATAGGTTTGTGAGGTAAGATCTCATGCGTGAGTTAGGTATAAGGAAGAGAGAATTCTACATTCAGATATTTTTCACCAAGATAACATGTTTGAGATCATGAAGATATTTAATTTATATATCATAGCATCCTCTACTATTATTTCTTCCACTAATTTGTATCTTTGGCAGATTGTTACACAGTACAAGCAAGATCAACTTAACATGGTTTTGGATGCTTGTGAGAGGATGCATGCTCATCTGACTGCTGCAGTTGTATCGAACGATCAATTATTCTTGCAGGCAAGATCACTGAAAATCTTGAGCACGGTTTATTTTGCACTCTATTTTCACATCTATTCATTGATAAAATCTAAGGAGCTGTTTGGCTGAGAAAGTAGGGGTTTTCGAATTCGGATGAGGTCTGAATTCTCCAAAGCTCTGAACTTTCCCAAATTTTGCTTTTCGTTTGGCTGTAAGCAAAGCCAAATGTAGGGTCTGTTTTTCTCCTCTCCAAAATCCCACCATCTAAGAGAGGATTTCTGAGACAGAAAATCCCTTTTTCCAACAAAATTTCCCTCAAAACAAACAAATAAAACAAATAAGTTGAATGACCTAAAGGCAATTCTTTTGTTTTATTCTTTCAATCTCCACCAGGAAGTTCTTGGGAGATCTGTGAATGGGACGACATATGCTGGTATGAGAGCAAGGACAACAGGAGCCCCCCAAAATCACTGGTTAGTAGAATATGTATTCAACCATCGTTAACATTTCAATTTTCAGTTTTTTTAGGGTGTGTGTGTGGGGATATCCTATAGAGGATCCTATATTAAAAATCAAATAAGTATAAACAACCATATGGCAATGAAGAAGCAACACTGACACGTGCCTCATCACACATTTTATAGTTAGCAACTGCACTGATACGATATTTTGATAAAGGGTTTTGCTATTTGCCAAGCGGGATGGGTGCGCAGCCCATCTTGGGTCCCACCCCCACCTCTCTCACGCGAGATGGATATTTGTTTGATAAAACTGATATTGTATATTGATTGCACCGACATTGCAGGTTTGGGCCTGCTGGAGATCCGAGAGGTGCGGGAATTGGAACCCCTGAAGCGATCAAACTTGTGTGGTCTTGCCACCGGGAGATCATATATGACATCGGTCCCTTGCCTAAGAACTGGGAACTCCCGGCCTCAACGTAGAGAAATAAAAAGGGAAATTTTTTACATGTGTGTTCTTGGGTAAAAGGCTTTTAATGCCCTAAGTTTATATGTAGTGAATAAGCATTCCTACATCTCGGGTATAGAGAGCATGTAGGAAAAGCAAAATGTGGCCGCAGGGTTATAATAAAGTGTAGACACAAAACATAAGAGTACTAATGAGGTCTTTTATGGTTATTGCTAGCAATATATCTTGCTTACTATATCAAACTTCGTTCTAATTAAAGCGGATGTGGTGCTTTCTGCTCGAAAATGTTGCTGGAAGCTTGTAAAAGTGCTGTTAAGCGCGCAAGGAAAACAAAATATGGATTTGAAATAACTCTCTAGCTCTTGCTCTGGCTGCCTCCTCCATTGCTTTCGACCGTCTCCGCCGCCTACGCCCCTCAAATCTACGTCGGAATCTGCCTTCAAAATTCTTCTCCTCCTGCAAGCTCTGCCTTCACTATTACTATCACCACTTCTTCTCTTGAGCTTCTCACCAACGCTCACCATCTTCAGTCGAAGCTCACTATCTCCGGTCAGAGCTCCTCCTCCAACCTGAGCGGTGCCTGAATTGTTGTCATATATAGCCGTAGTTGCTTTGCTTTGTTGAGTTTTAACGCGCGCATCTTGCAGCTATACTTTTGTAATTGAAGGTATTTTGTTTTGGGGCATTAGATTTTTTTTTTTGGCATTTTCGTTGGTGGCTAGTTGCAATTAGAGTCAATAACTTGAATCTCACTTATTGCTGGAAAGCAAGTTAAAATCTCATAATTAACTTACGAGTCCGCCCATACAAGCAACTAAAAAAAGTTTCGGAAGTGAAGTATCAAGATACTTGTAATTAAGGGCTTGCAGAGAATGAAATAAAGATATGGGGGGCGTGGGCTAAAACCCAAAGAGCAAAAACGCTTGCACATACGCAAAATGGCAACTTTATGAAGTTCCATATGGTATAATTTATGGAGGAAATAAATACTAAAATCCAAAGAGCTTATTGGCTGCTTTTTCTTTCTTTCTTTCTTTCTTCTTCGATAATCCATCCCGAAATTGAATCTAGGACGGTAAAAGTCATATTAAAATCTCTCAACCATCTAGATCACTCGTGGTGGAATTATTGGATGTTTGTAATAATCAATATCTATTGATGCAAATTAATCAAGTTGGTCCAATGGGCAAGTTTTCTTATATGAGGCCCACCTGACGGGGAAAAAAAACCAAACAAGTTTTCAAAGGTTAGGGTTCAGTTCTCGAATACCTCCATTGCTTTCGACCGTCTCCGCCGCCTACGCCACTCAAATCTACGTCGGAATCTGCCTTCAAAATTCTTCTCCTCCTGCAAGCTCTGCCTTCACTATTACTATCACCACTTCTTCTCTTGAGCTTCTCACCAACGCTCATCATCTTCAGTCGAAGCTCACTATCTCTGGTCAGAGCTCCTCCTCCAACCTGAGCGGTGCCTGAACTGTTGTCATATATAGCCGTAGTTGCTTTGCTTTGTTGAGTTTTAACGCGCGCATCTTGCAGCTATACTTTTGTAATTGAAGGTATTTTGTTTTGGGGCATTAGATTTTTTTTTTTTGGCATTTTCGTTGGTGGCTAGTTGCAATTAGAGTCAATAACTTGAATCTCACTTATTGCTGGAAAGCAACTTAAAATCTCATAATTAACTTACGAGTCCGCCCATACAAGCAACTAAAAAAAGTTTCGGAAGTGAAGTATCAAGATACTTGTAATTAAGGGCTTGCAGAGAATGAAATAAAGATATGGGGGGCGTGGGCTAAAACCCAAAGAGCAAAAACGCTTGCACATACGCAAATGGCAACTTTAAGAAGTTCCAAATGGTATAATTTATGGAGGAAATAAATACTAAAATCCAAAGAGCTTATTGGCTGCTTTTTCTTTCTTTCTTTCTTTCTTCTTCGATAATCCATCCCGAAATTGAATCTAGGACGGTAAAAGTCATATTAAAATCTCTCAACCATCTAGATCACTCGTGGTGGAATTATTGGATGTTTGTAATAATCAATATCTATTGATGCAAATTAATCAAGTTGGTCCAATGGGCAAGTTTTCTTATATGAGGCCCACCTGACGGGGAAAAAAAACCAAACAAGTTTTCAAAGGTTAGGGTTCAGTTCTCGAATACCTCCATTGCTTTCGACCGTCTCCGCCGCCTACGCCACTCAAATCTACGTCGGAATCTGCCTTCAAAATTCTTCTCCTCCTGCAAGCTCTGCCTTCACTATTACTATCACCACTTCTTCTCTTGAGCTTCTCACCAACACTCACCATCTTCAGTCGAAGCTCACTATCTCCGATCAGAGCTCCTCCTCCAACCTGAGCGGTGCCTGAACTGTTGTCATATATAGCCGTAGTTGCTTTGCTTTGTTGAGTTTTAACGCGCGCATCTTGCAGCTATACTTTTGTAATTGAAGGTATTTTGTTTTGGGGCATTAGATATATATATATTTTTTGGCATTTTCGTTGGTGGCTAGTTGCAATTAGAGTCAATAACTTGAATCTCACTTATTGCTGGAAAGCAATTTAAAATCTCATAATTAACTTACGAGTCCGGCCATACAAGCAACTAAAAAAAGTTTCGGAAGTGAAGTATCAAGATAACTTGTAATTAAGGGCTTGAATAGAATGAAATAAAGATATGGGGGGCGTGGGCTAAAATCCAAAGAGCAAAAACGCTTGCACATACGCAAAATGGCAACTTTATGAAGTTCCATATGGTATAATTTATGGAGGAAATAAATACTAAAATCCAAAGAGCTTATTGGCTGCTTTTTCTTTCTTTATTTCTTTCTTTTTTGATAATCCATCCCGAAATTGAATCTAGGACGGTAACAGTCATATTAAAATCTCTCAACCATCTAGATCACTCGTAGTGGAATTATTGGATGTTTGTAATAATCAATATCTATTGATGCAAATTAATCAAGTTGGTCCAATGGGCAAGTTTTCTTATATGAGGCCCACCTGACGGGGAAAAAAAACCAAACAAGTTTTCAAAGGCCCATCCTAGCAAAAAGCCCAACACACAACTTCATCTCCTCCCTTGCTTATCCACTCACGGGTGAAAATCCTGAGAGTTGGATTAGGGGATATAATACCTAACCAACCCCCTTAATCTCCTCTAATCTTCACTAACAAACCCACCAACCACTTAAAAAACCCCTCTTCACATTTTTTTTTCTCACGGGAAAAGAGAGAGAGAGAGAGAGAGAGAGAGAGAGAGAGAGGAGAGTTTGGTTTTTTGTGGAGAAAGAGTTTTGCGTGGTGTTTACGCTTTCAGTATTAATTGGAAAACATTTTTTTTCTCAATATTATTACTTCATAATTATTATTATTTTTTATTTTTCCCCACTCGTTACATATATATATATATATTTCATAATTTTAATATTTGTAAGTTATCAATCTGATTAATACATATGATATTAGTGGATGATATTCGTAATAAATAGTTTGATGACATTCGTTGTAAATAGTTGATGGCATTAGCTGTAAATATTTGATGGCACGAGCTATAAATAAATAAAATTCTACGACTAAATCATTTCGGTTTCTTGTTCCTTCACTCTACAGTTAACTATAGTACATATTAACTCACAAAGAGTACAAACGATTAAAGTTTGATGTTTTATATGATATATTTTCTTACAGAGTATTTTTATACTACAAGTTGATTTCACAAGAGGCGTTTATTATTATTTTTATAGTCCTTTTCTTACAGAGTATTTTTATACTACAAGTTGATTTCACAAGAGGCGTTTATTATTATTTTTATAGTCATTCTTAGTCTCATGTGGCAATCATATTGAGTTGATTTCACAAGAGGCGTTTATTATTATTTTTATAGTCATTCTTAGTCTCATGTGGCAATCATATTGTAGGTTATAGAAATCATTAATTTTATTCTTTCGGTCCATTAGTTAGTTATTCATAGAGTAGTATATATTTTATCATACACATAATTTGTCACACGTCACATATTATAGCATAAATGTAGATAAACAGTAGTTAACAATATCATTACAGGTTGATTACACAACAATACATTATAAGTTAGTTAGATTCCATGCTAGCTGCATAGTATATCATCATGTCATATGGAATTAATTACATCAGATATACATTATATTCTATATTACATATTTTCTTTTGCATCAATAGCATATGTATTCATTCTTTTCCATGTCAAATGTTCATATCACTAAGAAAAAGATAGATTAATTAAATATGAATGACTATGATGCGTAGCGCCCCAAGTTTGTGTATGATCCTATGGAAAATTGCTGCGTGATCACATAGTTATCTTTTGATACAGTTGCTTGTGCATGAAGATGACTTCCGTTAAAAATATGATTTATAGGCGTGTTTTTCATAGCAAGACTATACCTAGGGGTGTCCATCCGGCCCGGCCCGGCCCGAAAAACCGGGCCCGGGCCGGGCAAAACCAAAGCTCGGACCCGGGCCTGAGCGGGCCGGGCTCTGGGCCGTCCCGATTTTTTTCCTATTTTTTAATTTAAAAAAAACAATAAGTTATAAAATATACATAAAAATTACAGAAAATGACATAAATTTTTTAATAACTTGAAATGACATAAATTACAAGTATAAAAAATTATAAAAATAAAACATGATAAAGATAAAAATAATTTCTTTATTAATAATTAGTAAATCCTTTACAATTATAAATTTATTTCAAAATTCGTCGCTGTTTTCGTCAAAAGTTGCCTTTTCCATTGCTTTCAAACCTGTTACACCGTTTATCGAGTACAAGTTCAAACTGAAAGAAAAGTTGATATTTTTATAAGATCTTCTTACAATAAAAAATAAAGATTATAACTTTATCAAACAAAACGCAGCAGTAGTTTATCTCCCGCTGCTTTGCGTGAGATCTTTGCCTGTGCCGGGGACGCGTTAGTCCGTGGACCACCGCAGATCAAACCCGATTGACAGTATAACTACGCTCTTGTTTCACGAAGGAAACAATTACGAAAGCGACAATCACGACCAAGCGAGATTGTGACTCTTCTCGAGATAAAAACCAAGTTTAATCCGGAGGAAAGAAGGGGAAAGAATCACAAACCTTTCGAAGGCTTTCTCTTTATGAGAAAGTTCGCCAAGATCTGCCAATTCTCCTCTGAAATTCGTGGTCTACTGTTCAATTGGACAGCACCTCGCCCTCAGATTTCAGATCCTCTTTAAAGAAGACCCTAGGCTTCTATTTAT